TTGATAATATGAAACAGGGGCAACACATAAATATTATTATTGATTAATACTAATAATATCAATTCATAATAATTGATTAATACTTACTACTAATAATAATAATAATAATAATAATAATAATAATTTATTACCCCAGCTCGGGGCACAACACAGTTAAAATACGTCCATACGAACACACACACAAACATATTTAAATGCCTAAAACAAAAGGTAAATATGTGGTTAGGTCCTATTTTTCTCCCCCCTCCATTTAGATGCCCAGCGTCTCCACTCCATCCGATCCTCATTGAAGGCTTGCCTAGTCCTATCTCGGTTGCAAAGCCTTTCTCGCTTCCTCCCTTTCTTGCTTTGGAGTTTTCCCCCGTTTAAAATGAACTATATTTAAAGTATTGCCAGGTTTTCCAGCAGCCGACATTCGTGGCATCCTCCCCGGTTGAGAAGCAGCTCTTCCCAAGCCTGGGTTCTCCCTAAAACCCAATGGTTTTCTATGTTTCTATGTTCAGCATGCTCTTTGATTGTAGATGAACCATAAATCCCAGTAACTACAACTCCCAAATGTCAAGGTCTATTTCCCCCAAGCTCTATCTGTGTTCATATTTGGGCATATGGAATATTTGTGCCAAGTTTGGTCCAGATCCATCATTGTTTGAGTCCACAGTGCTCTCTGGATGGAGGTGAACTACAGCTCCCAAACTCAAGGTCAATGCCTACCAAACACCTCCAATACTTTCTGTTGGTTATGGGAATTCTGTGTGCCAAGTTTGGTTCAATTCCATCATTGGTGGGGTTCAGAATGCCCTTTGATTGTAGGTGAACTATACATCCCAGTAATTACAACTCCCTAATGACAAAATCGATTTTTTTTTTAGTGATGGTCACTAATTGGGTTGTTAGGTGTCCTGTGTCCAAATTTGGTGTCAATTCGCCCAGTGGTTTTTGAGTTCTGTTAATCCCACAAACGAGCATTACATTTTTATATATATAGAAGACTAGAAATCCCAGCAACTACAACTCCCAAATGACAAAATCGATAATTTTTTTGAGTGATGGTCACTAATTGGGTTGTTAGGTGTCTTGTGTCCAAATTTGGTGTCTATTTGCCCTGTGGTTTTGGGGTTATGTTCATCCCACAAACGAACTTTACATTTTTATTTCTATAGAAGACTAGAAATTCCAGCAACTACAACTCCCAAATGACAAAATCATATATTTTTTTGAGTGATGGTCACTAATTGGGTTGTTGGGTGTCTTGTGTCCACATTTGGTGTCAATTCATCCAGTGTTTTTTGAGTTATGTTCATCCCACAAACGAGCATTACATTTTTATTTATATAGAAGACTATATTCAGGGTATGATCTGGAGCAACTTCTGCTGTTATAGGTTCATTCATAACATTTTTATGACCCAGGAGGCAAAACTTTTTGACCCACTCGCGCTCATATATATACACACACACACATATACACACAAACATATATATACACATACATATATATACACACACGCATACATATATATATATATATATACACACACATATACACACATAAATGCATACTCATATATATATACACACTTATACACACACACACATACACGCACACATATATACACACACATATATACACACACTTATACACACATATATGCACACACATATACACACATATATGCACACTCATATATACACACATTTATACACACACACATATATATATACACACACATATACACACACATATACACACACATATATGCACACTCATATATACACACACTTATACACACACACATATATACACACATACATATACACACATACACACATATATACACACACTTATACACACATATATATACACATATATATACACACACATGTATGCACACACATGTATGCACACTCATATACACACACAGAGATATAGATATATACACACACATATATATACATATATATACACGTACACAATATATACATATATATATACACACATACACAATATATTGTTGTTGTTGTTCATTCGTTCAGTCGTCTCCGACTCTTCGTGACCTCATGGACCAGCCCACGCCAGAGCTCCCTGTCGGCCGTTACCACCCCCAGCTCCCTCAAGGTCAGTCCAGTCACTTCAAGGATGCCATCCATCCATCTATACACACATACACACGCATATATATATATATATATATATACATACACTCATATATATATATACACACATACATATATACACAGATATATATATATATATATACATATATAGGCACATATATATATGCACACATACACACACATATATACGCACACATACACTTATATATATACACTCATACACTTATACATGTACGCACACACATCTATCCCCGTCTCACACAGGCATGCACGCAGAGCCTTCCTTCCTGGCGGTGCTCACCAGCTTCCCAAGCCCTCGTTCCCCGGCGCAGACTCCACGGCCGCCTTCTCTTTCCTCGCCAAACCTCTCTCTTCCTCGCCTTAGA